GAGGCTCCCATCAAACGTGGTCCAATGTCTCCTGGCCTTGCTTGGACTTGGGAAAGCTGCGGCTGGGGGCTCAGAAGTGGTAAGGGCCATGGAGGGCGGCGAAGGGCCATCTATTGGGTTGGTGTTCATCTGCTTTAGGAGGAAGGACAGGCACTTCAACTTGTTTCTGTATAAAGTGCCACAAATGGCCCTGGCTGGTACATCATCCAGCAAACGGAAAGGTCAGAAAGGTCACCAGTTCAATTCCTAGTCAGGGCACATGCCTGGGTTGCAGCCCAGGTCCTTGGAAGGAGAGGCAACCAATCAAGTTTTCTCTCCATCTATTTCTCCCTCCCTTCCCCTCTCTCTAAAAATAAAATCTTTAAAAAAAAAACATGGCCTGACATGTTGATGCGTTGATGCCATCACACTGCACACCACCACCTTCCGGCCCAGCAGTACCTGCTTGGCCGTGATGACCGCTAGGCGGCCCAGGAGATGACCTCGACCACCCAGCCCCAGGACCTCACCTGACCTGACGACCTGCCCCTTGTCTTCCGCAGCGGCTCAGACTCCTTAGCATTTTCAGTAGTCTAGACTCTGACCTAGACACAGTAAATACATTTCATCCAAAATGGTCATGGCTTTTCTTTTTTCAATTTTTAGTGAAAAATTTACCGTATTTATTACAACATTTACATATGGTTTTTAAATGGCCATATTTAATTGTGGAGCCATAACTTATGTTTTAAAACTTCTAGAGCTCATTTTATATATTTTGTGTGTTAAAACATTTTCATGTTTTTAAATTTCTTTTTACTGAATTTATTGGAGTCAACTGGTTAACAAAATGATACAGTTTTCAGGGGCACAGTCCTCTAACACCTCATCTGTGCACAGTATTGTAACGCCCCCAAACCACCGATGCGCCCTGCGGTCGCCGCGCTGTCGTTTGACTCCCTAGGTTCTCTCTCTCTCTCCTTGATATTATGAATAATGCTGCTAGATGTGTGTGTGTGTGTACATTTTTGTGTGGACATATGTTTTCATGTCTCTTGGGTATATACCTAAAAGTGAAATTGCTGGGTCAGATGGTATCTCCATATTTAACATTATGAGGAACTCCTAAACTGTTTTCCAAAGTGGTTGCACCATTTTACAATTCCTCCAACAATATGAGAGTTCCAATTTCTCCATATCCTTGCCAGTAACTGAAATTACCTGTGTCTCCTTGATTATAGACTTTCTGGCAGTATGAAATGGTATCTCATGAAAGTTGATTTACATTTTCCCAATGACCAATAATGTTAAACATCTTTTCATGACTGGCTTATAGGTCATTTTATATCTTCTTTGGAGAAATGTCCATTCATATTCTTTGCTTATTTTTTAATTGAGTTATAAGAGCTCTTTATACATTCTAGATACAAATTACTTATCAATATATGATTAGCAACTTGTTTTCTCCCATGGGGTCTGTGAGTTCTCTTTTTACTCTCTTAGTTGTGTCCTTTGAAATACAATTGTTTTTAAAAAAGATTTTACTTTTCCATTTTTAGAGAGAGAAGAAGGGAGGAAGAAAGAGAGGGAGAGCAATATTGATGTATGAGAGAAGTACTGATCAGTAGCCTCTTGCATGCCAGCTGCCCAGGCACGTGCCCAGACCAGGAATCTAACCAGCGAGCTTTTGCTTTGCAGGATGATGCCCAACTCATGAACCATGCCAGTCAGGACAATACAAATGTTTTTAAATTTTATAAAGTCCAACTTGTTGATCTTCTCTTTTATCACTTGCTCTTTTGGTGTCATATCTAAGAAATCATTGCCAAACCCAAGATCATGAAGATATACTCCTATATTTTCTTCTAAGTTTTATTGTTTAGCCCTTCCCTTTAAATCTCTGATCCACTTGGAGTTAATTGTTGTGTATATATACCTTTTTCAGAAATTCATGTATTAGGGTCAAATTTACACTCAATAAAATTTACCAATTTTAAGTATACAGTTTAATTAGTTTTGTTTTACATACTTTTAGTCATTCTATATTGTTGGATATTTTTTCCTGGGAAGTTATGGATAGGGAAAATTGAGTGTGTGCCCATTTTCTCTCCTTATGCCACACAATTTTGCTTATAAATATGAGAAGGGGAGAGAGAGAAAGAATAAGAGAAAGAGAAAAAGAAAGACAGAGAGAATCTGCTTAAGAGTTCCCACTTACTTTGCCTTTCTCTTGCAGTGCCATGGCCCATTTAATTATATGTAGGTTGAATGAATGAATACAGTAAGCAAGTGACAGTCCATCAGTGTCTGCTTTCAGAGCCATCAGTACCACATGGCCACAGATGTTGCTAAGCAGCTGCCCAGGGTTGGGATGGGGATGAAGACTTCTCAGCTGGTCCCCTGCATGGACATGTCTGGGTTTAATGGGTTGTTTTCTAATTTGTGATTCCTTCATAAAGAGCCCCCCTTTCGGGATAATTACAGGGCCCTGTAATAATTATTAATTGAGTTGGTTTCTGTGCTTCATGTTTCCTCAGCCTTCTGCTGGGCTGCCCCAGCCGCACTTGGCCACCTTTGCCGTCAAAAGCAGGATGAGGCTGACTCAGACACCCTGAGCAGGGGAACCAGGAGGGCTCAGGAGACTGGATGGAAGGCCCAAGAGGCAGGAGGTCTCACTTCCCATCTTTAGCCCTGCAGCCCTGCTCGCAGAGCCGCTCCGGGCCTTTGCATTTCCTTCTGAACCATGAGGGAAAATTAAAGGTACCTTTTACATGCCGGTGCTTAGAAGAATTCAGCTTAGAAGTATAGCTGTCTGAGCACATTACTACAATGATGTTTTTCACAATAAATTATTATGGTTATATGTTGACATGACTGTTGTTAAGATGGTGGCTTTTGAAAAGATGTTAGAGGAAAGTAGGGCGAGAGGAGGAAGTCAAAGGTGGTCCCTGTTGCGTAGGGCGCTTGCTGTGCGGCCAGCTCTGCCGCAGCTCAGGCCCCCTACCTCTTACCCACTGGTTTCTTCACTATTATACCCATTTTACAGATGAGGACACTGAAAGTGACTTGCTCAAGGTCATCGGCTTAGAAATGTCTGAGCCAGGATTCAAACCCAGATTTCACCATCTCTGCTGCACAGTGGCCTTAGCCACAAGGACACTACCTGTCTTCCAGGATCTCGGCATTTAGTATATTCCCCTACACTCGGCGGCAGGCATAAGCAAGCAACAAAATGTTCCTACCCTGCCCTCCTTTCTCCTTAGCCTGAGAGTCTGGGGCTGGTGGGGAATCATGTGTTGTCTGAGCCAAGAGAGAGTGGGTGTCCCACAGAACTGGACAGATACTAAAGAAGTGCATACAATGACATCAGAAAATTGCTAAGTTTTCAACACTGCAATCGTGAAGGGTGAGGCAAGGCGAGACAGAGTCATAAAAGGGCTGGAACTTGCTCTGGGCCTTAAAGGAAGGACAAGCTTTGCAAGCAAGGCAGGGCCCACATCCCTGGAGGAAGGCACTGGAATGAGCAGAGTCTGGGGCTGGAAAAGGGAGCGGGCCACACTGGCCTGTACCAAAAGAAGCGAAGTGGTAGAGAGTATCCTGGACAGGGTGAATAGGGACCAGTACCAAAGGTCTGGAGAGGCAGACAGTAGAACCTGATAATCGGGAACTATTGCAGGTGTTAGAGTAGTATCCTGATAAGGTGGGAAATAGAAATACAAAGGGAAGTAATCCTATACAAAGACAGGTAATCAGTACAAATTTTATAGACCTAATGGAACGATTTCTGAAAGCATTTTCTAAAGTTGGACTTCAGTCTTAGCAAAAAAGGAGCCCGTCCCATCTTCTTTTCGAGTCCGATGTCTGGAGCAAAGCTTCCGGCTGCATCTTAGGAGGCCCATGAGCTCCCACCTGGGAATCCTTGTGTTCTGTTTGTGGAGATTTTCAAGCCCTGTGAGGATGAAAAAAAAAACCCCATCTAGCTCCAGGAAGGAATGTCTCAGCTGAGCTTCCTTGGAAACCCAAGCTTTCCTCTGGCCTCAGTCTAACCATTCAACAAATGCCCGCGTGTGCTCTCTGCCTCATAGCCCTGGAGGCAGGTGAACGCCTCCTGCGCCATTCAGCTTCCACATACCACCAAGACTTTGTTCTGGGGCTATCCACAGTTGTTTTCCTTGCTTCTCTTTTGGGTCTAGAGAAGCACAGCATGAGTATTGGCACCAATCTTCTCAATTCATGGGAAGGGAAAGTAACCCGCAGACACCACCCAAATGTTGAGCCTGCTTCACTCCCAGCTCCTACCTGGAGGGGCTGAGTGGACAGATCAGCCATGGTCACAAGCAGCTGAACATTCAAGCGCTTGGGCCTCTGTTTACTAACCTGTGAGTGTAAAACATTCCAAACCCCTGTAGGACCCACATTTCACATGGTGGCTATTAGGAGAATGTGCTCAGAAAATGAGTGCGAGGGCTCTGCTAAAATTGCTCTGAGCACCTTCTCAGTTGCTGTCACCATTTTCAAATCTAGTTCTAACCCAAATTCATTCCTTTCTGGAAACAAATCACTCAGTTCTACCAAAGAGATGTGACTCTTCTAAACTATCCCGAAGTCCAGGGCCCTGTGTCAGAATCCTGAATGAAAACGCAGACTCCTGGGCCCCTTCTCCAGACGCCCTCTGTCAGAATCTCCACCAGTGCCCAGGGATCTTTGTTTTAACTGGGGGCCCAAGAGATGTGACTACACACTCAAGTGGAAGACCTACTGTTTTACAGTTGGGCAAACAAGGCCTATCTGGGACCAGGAAGAGAAACAAAGGAGATAAGGGCTCTCCAAAGGCCAGTGTGGGAGGACTGCCTGACAGTCACAGGGAGTAGAAGTGGAAAAGCCCTTGGCCTTCATCTGGCCCAACCCCAACTTCACTGATAAGGAAGTTGGGGCCCAGAGAGTACAGTGAGTACAGGTGACCCAGCACATTCATAAAGATGGGTCTGTATCCCCCTTGCTCTCTAAGCCCTCGTTTTTTCCTCCCTATACTCCCTGTATATGCGTGTTTGTGTGTGTTGTGTGTTCTGCACCTGCCTGGGCCACACCTGCCAGTGGCCCATCACGTCCCTCTCTGAGCCCTAGCCCTACTTTCCTACTCTAGTAAGAGGCTGGAAGGAAAGAGCCTTTTCAAAATCCATTTACTGATGTTCCTGCCCTCTATCCTCTTTGTATCCAAAAATAAAATTAATTTTCATGACTGCAGCACAAATATAACTCCCCCCCACACACAGAAAGAAAAGTGTCTTGCATGCAGTCCTTTCAGTACCTGTAAGGATCTTGGGCTTAGAGTGCCCGTGTACCTGGGCCACCTAACCCAGGGTGCAGCCAGGTGAGCTCTGACTCCCGAGACTCTGGCTCTGTGGGAGGTCTGACTCACTTCTCACCTTCCAGCGCTTTCTCCTGGTAGCCTCAGCCAGCAAAGCCAGGGATCCAGGGTTCTTGGCACAGATGGCACACAATTCACATACCTCCATTACCAGGCTGGCAAGCAGCCCCGGAAAGGACAGAGAAACACCCGGGCGTACCTGAATCTGATGAAACCCACCTTCTGACAGCACCCATCCCACTCCCTTTTATTTGTTAGCACTAATAAGAGCCTCAACCAACTTTTAACAAACACTTTTTTATTAGAAAAGTAAAAAATATTGCATAGGTCTTAATACTTGAACATCAAGTGTATTATAATGAACAGCGAGTATCTTCATGTAAACAGTTCTAGATGGAAGACCCAGATGGCACTCCTCTGGGGAGGGGTTCCAGCCCCCATCCCAGTCAGCCCCACCCCTCACAGATAAACTGCCCGGTACACAGCAGGGGATGGGCCGAATGCAGCTCTCAGGTGTACTTTTTCTTCAAGTGTCAAAGATCCCCCGAAGTGATCCCAACACCCACCCCTTCCTACTCTTACATTCATGCGTCTGTAAGATAGCTGCCTAGAACAAGTCAGTAGTGAAGCTCCGATCAAAAAAGAAAAAAAAAAAAAAGATGCAAAAACAAAGAACACACACATTTGGCCCCTTCAGACCATGATACATAAAACACCTTAGTGACCTCCCCCCTCCCACCAGGGCCAGCTACCATGAGCACATATCGCTTGCACATGCCAGTGCAGCCCAGCTGCTCTCCTGGCTGTCACACCACTGTTGTCTTAACTGTCAGTAACAATAAAAATAAGGTACATGCTACATACACATCCAGTCAGAAGCCTGATTGGCCCCTAAACCTTTGTTTCATGCTACAGTACTGAGGGGCAAGCGTGTGCCCCCAATGAGAAGCCACCTACAAACACCTCAGTGAGCTTCCCAGAAAACACTTTCTACCACACCTCCACCTTCCTTCCCTCAAGTGGCTGTTGTCAGTTCTCTAACGACAGGCATCAGTCCCTCAGCTCCTGCCTGCCAATGTCCACCCCAAAAGTTCAGTTGTCTGCCATGGGGGCAGTGTTGGCCCCCCCAGGCCCAAGTTCAACACTCCTCAATGAGCAGTTGTTCTGAGCTGTACAGCTTCTTCTTGATGACTCGGAAGCCAGTGCTCAGCGTCAGGGACTGGCTGAAGCCAGGGACGAATGAAGAGTTGGCGGAGCTAAACAGCCCCTGGATCTTAGGCCAGAGGCGTGAGTCCAGGCGCAGCACGAGGGTCAGCTGGAAGGTGGGCACCAGGCTGGGGTCGAGGGCCAGCTGGCCTACGCTGTGGCAGCTCTTGCCCTGTTCTACGCAGACATCCAGCAGCGCCCCCCGCAGGCCACACGGCTCGCTGTAGGCCAGGCGCAGTAGTTCTTTGCCCACCTGGCTCACCAACTGGCCGGGCATCAGCAGGCGCGCGGGGCGCCGAGAGCCCAGTCGTGCCTGGGCCAGGCTCTCCTGCAGCAGCTGCATCAGGTTGGCACACAGGTGCTCGTCCTCAGGGTCGCTGAGCAGCTCGAAGTCGGGCAGGGACACCCCGTCGAGATACGCAGAGTCTGGAAGGGAGAGCACACAGGGGAGGGTGTTAAAAGCAACTCGCAAAGGGGTAGATGCTATTTCACTAAGAAACCAGCACTCCTTCCCACTCCGTGCCTCAGTTTCCGCCCCACACTCGTGCCTTACACTCCAATCCCCCTCCGCCACTCCTCCATCCCTCCACAATCTAGGTTCTCATGGGACAGGAGATCAAGGTGGGTCTGACTCCTTCCACTGCGGCCCTCCTTTCACATCCCCAGCCCAAGTCGCGTCGGCCCCGGCCCACGGCTTACCGTCCTCCGGCCCAAAGCCACTGTTGCTGCTGTCCAGAGACTCGCAGTCCGAGCTCTCCAGGCTCGCGCAGCGGCCGAGACCCTCTTCTCGGGCCGCCGACCCCCAGGCTGAGCGCGACGGCTGATCCGGGGTGGGGGTTCGGGACAGCGACGATGACGAAGAGGAAGCGGACGACGAGAAGCGATCCCAAAGGCTAGGCATGTTGAGGACCGGCACCAGGACGTCTGCAGATAAGCTCAGGGTGCGGGAGCGCAGAAGACGCTGTAAGACAAGAGGGGCACAAACCTGGCGTCAGTCTGAGGTCTGGACCAGACTGAGAACGCTAGAACGCGTACGGCTTAGGCCTCCCCGCGCAGAGATCACTACATCGAGAAGGGACACTCACCAGGTAGCGCGGTCAGGGAGAACTGCTTGGACTATTACCGCTTGAATGGGTGCGCGAACTGCTGCCAAGCCCGGAGCTCAGCCCGGACTTGTCCCTTCCAACCACCCTCACCTCCCCCTTGGCCTGCAGCGGTCCCTAGCACCAGGGCCTAGAGACCTATAAGGACTAGCGCGAGGAAGCCACGCCTCGTTAGCGCTACAGCCCAATCCAGATTCGGGAGTGTGGCCGGCCTCGGCCAATGGGCTCCAGGCGCACGTTCGCAACGTTCTCTCCTGCCCGGTGACAGCAGCCTGGCCCCGCCCCCGCTGAGCCCCAGCACGCTCCTCTCCGAACCCCGAGCTGTGGCCACGCCCCCTTTCTAGAAGAGCTCCGCCGCGGCTGCAGCTGCCAAGGTCCCCGAGGGCGCTCGCGGCAGGGGAGGATCAAGGAAAGACTTGTTTATTATAGGGTCGTGTTGCTGGGGGAGGGGGTAGCTCGTCACCACGCTCGGGGAGAGGCAGGGGAACTTGAAGGGGCGGCGACAGGGTAAACGGTGGCCCCGAGAGTCTGGGAACCTGGGAGCCTTAAGGGTACTACTGGGGGTACGGGTGGATGCCCGTGGGACGGCGGCGTAGGGAGCTGATTTTAACCTGGCGTGCCATCGCGCACGTACCCCACGCTAACCCTGCCTTGCGAAGGATCCGGGTGTGGGGACGGGGTTCAAAGACTGGGCAGCTCCGGTCACCGAGCTTCCCCCTTCCCCGCAGCCCACTTGCCCACCTGACCACCCGACCACCCGCCTGTTACTCTACAGCCCCAGGGAGGAGGTCCGTATCCCCCATATGCGCCTGGTCCCCAAACTGTGTCCGTTCCCACCTCACAATTGATCCCAAGGAGAGGGTTTGGTGAGGGTGGTTAAATAAGTGTTGATGGGCTGGGGTTATTAGCGCAAGGTCCTGGGGCTGAGAACTGGGACCCACATCATCACATGAACACACCAACCCACCCGGGGTCCCTACCAGAAGTCTGCGGGGCAGAAATAACTCCCCGGCCCGTGGCGACCGAAAGGCCCCGGGCGTCCGTCGGGTCCTAGCGCCCTTTCTTCCAAAGAGCTTTGTGTAAAAGACCCCAAGAATTGCATCAGGACTAAGGATCTAGATCTCCGCAAAAGCCCGAGTGTGTAATGGCCAGGCCGCGTTTCATCATTCAGGCGGGGCCACAGGAAATCTGGCCTGACGGCGGTGCTCGGAAACAAACAGTGATTGCTGAGGGTGGGAATAGCTTTGGACGGTCTCGACCTTTATTTCTTTAAAGGTTTATCAATCTGAGATAGGGGGAGCCTGATTAAAGAGGGAACCAAACTCACATCAGATGGTCTCCTCCCCGCCGCCCCCGGCGCGGTCGGGAGCCTAACCAGGTCGGACAGGTGAGGCTCGCCTCCCGGCAGGGTTGCACGTGACTGCTGACTCGGGCTGGAGAGGTCGAGCCACTGCGGTCTCCACCCCCATCCTCATTTAAAAAAATTAAAAATAAAAATTAAAAAAAGGCTGAGCCGTGGACCATCCGTGCAAATCAAGACTTAGAACTGGAAAGGGCCGGAATTCAAGCCCTGCACCCCACCCCCATTTTCCAGGTGGGGAAACCACCTCTGGAGACAAATTTATGGATTAAAAAATAAGTTAGGGGACTCATATTAAGAGATATCTTAAATACCACAGCAGAATAGACTGATCTTTTAGCCTCTGGGGCTTGCAACCCCTGAACTGTGGTTTTTTCTCTCCTATCCTTTAAATTGCTCTCACTTGCTGGGAACCTAAATGACACCAGGTCAGGGTAGTTATATGAAGTGCTTGAAGGGCTGGGGGTAGATGATATCTTCTTGAGATCACTCTGTACCAAAGTGAGAAGAAGAGAGTTGGAGGTTACCTGTATGGTTGTGTCTTTCTGTTGCCTAGGAGAGAGGTTCAGGGAATTAATCCTCTCACCTGACTGACTGGCCTGGAGACACTTGAGACAGCAGGAGATAGACTTAGGGTATTCATTCTCTCTCTCTCTCTCTCTCTCTCTCTCTCTCTCTCTCTCTCTTTCCCAGAAAAAAAAATTTTTCCCCCCACAAAACTGTGGAACACTAAGAAAAATAGAGGGTTTTTAAAAGTGGGTCTTAAGCAAAGAATCCAGACCCAGTTTGGTAAGATCAGTTTACTAGGAATCATTCATTCATTCAATACACTCTTGGAAGCAGTGTACTAGGCTTTTATTCACTGTCTCATGTTTTTAATAAAAAAGCTTTTCTCAATAGGAAGGAATGGGCACTAAATAATTTTGTTTCTTTTCAGAAGAAATCCAGTGATGTTGTTGTCTTCTTGTTTTTAGAAAGTGATGAAAAAGAGGCAATCTTCACTCTGGAGCATTTTCGTAACATATGAGGGAGTGAGGAACAGGGTAAAAAACCACCTGCAAGGAGGCCTGGCTGAGGCCCTGTAGGGGAAGAGAATGGCTTCCCCACTGACACTCTTCACCCTTGTGAAGGAGAGGAGGAGAGGGCAAAGCCCCATACCATTGTCTGCCAGGAGAACCACTGGACTTGGAGAATTTTCTAATTAATTGTTAGCCCCTCTGAGGAGCTAGGGTGGAACGTCTTGGTTTGAAATGTAGGATCCCCTCTACCTGGATTGAGATGAAAAGACCTTGTTCCTACCTCGCACCCCTTTCCCTGCCTTGAAGCAGATGTGGTAGAGGGGAAACCCAAAAATGTGGCACTCCTGGAAGGAAACATCTCCATCCCCTGGCCTCTGAGCCAGGCCTCTTCAGAGCCTTCAAAGATCCTAGAAACCCTGCATTTGGTGTGCTTCTCTCCCCCTCCTACTCTCCTTGGGCTGCCTGCAGGTCAGGCTTGCCCTGGAGACCAAGACCAAGCATCCTTTCCCCCAGGAAGCCTTGCTCAGTGCCTCCACTCCAAACCTCCATCCTTTAGGTGCCCCTCCGCAGGTCATCCTTACACCTTGTGCATATTGCTGTTAATAATTGTTTCCATTTTCATCTTCCCACTGGACTATGAGTTTACTGAGGGTGGTGGTCTACTATTCTTAACATCCAGTGGCTAGCACATAGTAGAGGCTCAGTGAATATTCCTTGGGTGAATGAATGAGTGAATGGATGGATGGCTCGATTAAGCAAGAAGGTGGATATTGCCAGAACTGCAGACCTACACCTGGATTCCCAGCATGTAGGTGGGCCTTTGCGGTGGCGCTTCAGAAGACCTTGATGCTACTACGTTTCTATCTCCTTTCTGACAAATGCTGCCAAGAGACTTGGATGTATCTGATCCAAGGGATGCATTTCCCTTTCTCCTCAGCTCAGGTCTGGGAGTGGGGCTTCTAAGGCAACCTAGTTCTTCCAGTTGGAATATTGTCAGCAAATGTAGGAGGCTGGGGAGAGAAGTGACATTGTACAGATGGCTGACTTGTGGTGGTGAATCTTTTAAAATAATTAGTACTTTGCCTTCAAGTGCCTCAAAATACTTAAACTTTTTTTTAATTGAGATGAAATTTACATATAAAGCTAACCATTTAAGAGTGAACAATTCAGTGGCATTCAGCGTATTCACAATGTTATGCAACCACCGTTTCTAATTACAAAACATCTTTATCATTCCAAAGGATACCTGCAACCCCATCAAGCAGTCACTCTCCTCAAAATACTTTTGAAGTTTATATCCCCTTGTTGTAGGGAGTAAGTCTGCCTGTTCGCGTAACTCCAGAGGGCACCATTCCCATTGCAGGCTGTGCATTTACGTATGTCTTCTGGGGAGTTATGCTCCAGGGAGCACTAGTCACAGACACACTGTGCAACAAGTCTGCACCAAGACAACCTTACTGGGGAGACTGGGCTAGTGTCATGTCTAGGGTGACTCAGCCCGTGGAGTTGGTAACCAGGCCCCATGTCCCAGTCTCTGGCCAGAGCCCTGGCCATGCACATACTGTCTCTTCCTGGGCTTTGCTCCATTCCCGTGGGACCCGCTGCAGCCTGCAATTTAAAGTCAATGAGCACTCATGCCTGGCCACCTGCCCCTCCCTGTTCAGGCGGTTTCTGGCCTGTGCTCGGTTCCCAGGGCCTCAACTCAGTCTGGCTACTTGTCTCAGTCGGGTTTGGGGAGTTAAACCAGATCTTGGGGTGGGGATGTGATTCTGGGAACCCCAGAAGTCAGGACAGGAACCCCTGAAGGCCAGCCAGCTTGCCTGCACTTCCCTGGACCACAGTCCTTTGTAAACTTCTCAGCAAGGGAGTGGAGGTGGCAGAAGGAGCCACTGGGTCAGGGATCAGGGTTGGGGGGTGGGAGGTGGAGTGGCGGTAGGAGGTGGGACAGTGAAGTCAGCAAAAGTGTTCCTAGGACTTCTGTGGGTTTTACTTGAAAAACAAACAACTTAGCCAAAATAGCAAGATTATAAGTGCACCTGGTTTACTTGGAGGGCTGTAAAAGCTGTTGACAGCACAGACAGGGCTTCACGTAGGATTTTCACAGTGCTATTGGAGGGAGAATTAAACACCCAGTGGGGAGTCTTGTAGCAAATGAAGCGAAATGCTAACAATACACTGTGTTGTGCAGTCTTTCAAAGAAGCTTTTAAAATGTATTATCTACTTACCAAGGAGTTAATATAATGCCATTCTACAGATGAGGAAATTGAGGCCCAGAGTGATCCTTCATTAACCAATGGCTTTCAAGCCCGATTGATAATTGGAAACATCTGAGGAATTTATAAACCATAGATTTCTGTGTCCCTAATCCTCATTCTGATTTGGTAGGTCTGTATGGGGCCCTATTGTACAAAAGTTCTCCAAGGGATCCTAATGCTCTTTTTAAGTTGGGGTATCTGCTGACCTCCCAGAAAGATAGGTCCTGGAAGGAACACTGGGCTGGCTCCCCACCCTATCAAAGGGCCTCCCTGTGGGTTGGGGATGGGTTAGGGGCTGGAGGGATGGCTTGCAGCTGTGGAGACTAGGCCCACATGTGATAATGATGAGCTCACAGCCAGTCAGTTCTGCTGGGCTTCTAGGTTTCACGATGAGGCAGGATACTAAGAAATGAGGAAAATTTCCTGACAAGTGGAATCAAGGAAACTGAGACAAGATAATTAAACAAGGCTGAGCAA